TTATTTATTATTACCTATTTGCAAAAAAATCAAATAATATTAATATTAGGTAAGAATACGTATTACTTTTGCCCATCCCTATCTAGGGAGTTGTTGAGATTTAATACACTAGGAACGGAGTAAATTTAATACCTGATTGGTCGGCATGATCATCGTTATCTCATCTTTCTTATTCTTCACTCGATAAGGCATCGCATCGCGTATTATACTTACTGCTGCTATTCTCCATAAATATGTTACCAACAATACATATACGTATTTGTCTGGCGTGCCTAATTTAGTCATTGAACTAGCCAGTATTTTTTTTTCTAGTACCCACGGATGCTGGAATATAAATCAATATCGATATATTCACTGTAAAACGTCATGCAAGATAGCCGGTGCAAAACATGAGATCTATTAAAAATTTTTATACTGCTTATTATAAATGCAGAATATATATATATGCTTGAAATTTTTTCTTTCTTGCGACACAGACCCGCTACAGCATAATATACCCGAGTCTTTGTAAGTTTTTCGATGGGTGTTTTGTATTAGACCCCAGGTCTTTTGATCAGTGCACTACGGTACTACTTTTATAGCACGTGGGTGTAGGCAAAAAAGGTACTGGTTAAATAAAACAAAAAAAATCATCCAGAATTCGTCTATTGCTTTTAATACTTTTTGCATTCTAATGAATCTTCTTGTGTACATATGATCTAAATGTCTCGTTGAATGATCTGAATGCCTCGTTGAATTACTTGTCAATTTTTTTCTATTTTATCAGCATTTAAAAATTGTTTTTTAATTTCGTCGTCGTTATTCCACTTAGTTTATTTACAATTTCTTCAGCAGCTGGTCCTTGTTGTAGATCAGAATTTATGCATTATTAAGCTAATTCAATATAGCATTCTGGAGTTCTGGTAGCCAATTCTGGTCGTTTACCGTCAATGATTTTTCTTTAAGAATCAAAATCATCGTCAAATTGGAACTCATCAAAAGGTCTTCGTCCAGTTGATATTTCAGCCATAATGACTCCAAAAGCGTAGATATCTACTGCCTTTGTATACAATTTTTGCTTTAAGATTTCAGGAGCAAAACTCCATATATTCCATTTTTGGTCCTTCTTCAGGAATATTACCATTGGACAATCCAAATTCCACAATATACGCATTAGGCCATGCAAAATTAATTAATTGGCTTTCATAACCCGGCCGGGTCAAATTTGAAAACCTATAAAAAAATTTTTTTTAAGTTTTAATAACCGGGTGGGTTTTTTAAAAATTTTTAAACCAATTTTATAAAATTTTTATATATGAAATTTAAAAAAAAAAGCCGGCCGGCCGGGTCTGTTTAAAAGTTTCATGTTATGAAAACCAGGATATTAAATTTGTGTGGCCTTAGATTTTTTAGTAAAATATTGCCACTATGTAAATCCTGATGAATAATGTCTTCAGAATGAATAATTCGAAGATTATTATATAGTGATTTTATGTAACAATTTAGCCTTTCTTTCTATTTCATTTGTGCTACTTCATCAAGATTGTCACTTAAAGAACTTTTGTCCTCATATGGCATTACAATGGTAATTGTTAGATTTTGGATCTTGTGAAAATCCATAACATTAAATAATTCTGGTTGTTTCTCCATCTCTGGGAGGATTCATAGGATTCCGGGGCTTTAGCCCCTTTTCAATAAAAAAAAGTGTAGTAAACTTTTATAATATTTGGTTAGTTAAATAGATATAAATGACCTCAATAAAAAAATCTTTTGTTATTTGAATTATGAACGAATTTAAGTGCAACTTTTGCTGGAAAAGAACCTTCTGACTTTGTCCATTCGGCAAGATATATTGTTGAGAATCCATCTTCGCCTATTTTTTTTGATTTATTAAAAGGAATCCATGCGTCACTTGCTTGTTCTAACATTTCAAGGTCATCTAAAATTTTTATAATGGTTGAACATTATGTAATAAAAAAAAATTCAACCGAAACGAACAATATTAATTTAAAATTATCAACTTCACAAATTCCATCATTTTAAAAAAAGTTTTAAAAAACCATTTTTTTTGATTAACTAAATTTTTTCTTGACTCATTAATTTCAGCTTCCTTATACAATCTGAACGTCTTTTCTCGTCTCTTTCGATTCCTATTCCTTCCCGATGACAATGAACGACTTTACATGCTCCAGAAGAATAAACCATCTCTGCGAATTTATTATAGTATTCGAAAACTTTCTCATTATTTTGATCAATTCCTTTTTCGTAACTTTACATGCACCACTGCCATGACCCAGATTGGCTGCTTTCAGATAGTACTCGAAAGCTTTTTCATATTTTGATCTTTTTAGTAAAAATAACCGATTTGATATGCTCTCACAGAGATACTTTTTTACAGTTTATCAGAATCATTCAATTATTATATAAATATTGATTATTAATTATTTAATTAAGGGAATTGTTATTCATACCCCCTAAATTTGTTATTCATACCCCCTATCAAAAACAAAACTTTTTAAAACTTT